GGCGGGAGGGAGGCGGGGGGTAGGCGGACAATTTAAAAGTGAGAATGAATGGCTTGCGTAAAGGCGATAGTCTTTAAGCCGGGTTCGTCAGTGTACATCCTCACCGGTTTTGAAATAAAGTTGACGAACTCCCCAGAAGCGGTCAATTTTGGAGACTGACACATCTCTCCCATTGACCGGAGGCGCCTGCCGACCGAAGGTAGTGGAAACGCCGAGAGGCAGGCGGCGCCAAGCCTAAGAAAGCCTTTTCTCCCTCCTCCAAGGCCACTGCGGCCGCAGCCCTGGAGCTCTCCACTGCAGGGGCAGGTATCGGCGCCAGACCCCCGGCTCACGGAGCTGGCGGAGTTGCCGCCACTGCTTCCCAGGCGGGCCTAGGAGCCAGAAAGTTGCGTGAAGACAACTCCAAGGCCGTGAAGCCGCTTCCCCCCGCAGCCCGGGGACTGCGGCACCTCCAGCCTCTCCTTAGTACCCCACGGAAAAGGACTTGCCTCGACCCGGCCCCAGCGTCTGGGGGCTTGAGGTGCCGTAGCCAACTCCGCCGGGCCGGGAGGACGCTAGGGTCACCAGCGGCTGACGAGCAAGGAGGTTGGAGCGGTGCGATGCCCCCGCGTCAGACGCCAGTCCAGGCTGCGAGTTCCCGGCGCCCACCAGCCAGGCCCGCCAGGATCCCAGCGTCCGGACGCCGCAGAGCCCTCACCGCGGCCCGCAGCCCTCCGACTCGCCCCGACCCATCCCTGGGACGCAGCCCGGGCTCCGCAACTCGACAAGTAGCCAGGCCGCGGCCCTGCGCCCCTTCCCGCCTCACCTGCGCTCCGCTGCGACTCCGTGCCTCCTCGCTCGCTCCGCGCGCGCCCCGTCGGGGCACGCACCGACCCCCCGGCTTAGACTCTCCCCGCTGCGGTGACTCAGGACGCGACGGCCACCGCCGCCTTCTCCTCCTCGGAACAAGCGCCGGCGGCGAGCAGAGAGGGTCGCGGTCAGAGCCCCTGCCGGGACCAAAGTGAACCTCGCCGCCTCCGCAGCCTCTACCACCAAGTCCCTTCAGTCGTCCGCGCCGCCCCCAAGAAAATGTCACCAGAGGCCGTTCCGCTCGGCGCCTCACTTCCGCCCGGAAACACAGAGCCTGCGTCGGCCGGCTAGAGAGGCTGCTGCGCCGGAGACCTCTGGAGACTGGCGCCCGAGGCCCGAGAAAAGCCAGACAGCGCCATCTGGCGCGATGGAACCCGCGCTCCTCCCGCTGCAGACCGCGGGGCGTGAAGGCGCCAGCTCCCCGGGCTTCTTTCCCGCGCTCCCTCCTTCTGTTGAGACCGTCTCCTTCCAGAAATGTCTTTCCCGGGGTGTGTGAAAGCCACTCAATGCAAGACAAGGACAATGCCTTCAACAAAGGACAGCGCTCCCGTTTCTGTGCGCTGCTCAGTACTCACCCCCTCCTGAAGCCCTTCCGAAAGCAGCTCGCGGTGTCTGAATCTTTGAGTCGCTCCAGCGGAGGGCCCGCGCCCTTCTCTCCCCGCTTTTTCGCGGATGCGGACAGCTGGGCTCGCGGAGACTCAGCTGAGCTCGGGGAGACTAGGCTGAGGTTTTCTTGGGCAGCGGCACCAACATCTGCTCAAGTTTCTGCCCGGGCACCTTGCAGGCCTTGCAGATCGACCGCCACCTGCTGGTGGGACGGGGCCCGGAGGGGAGACGCCGCTCTGCCCCGAATTCCGCCTCTGCAGTCGCCCTCCGATTTGCAGTCAGCCCTTAGGAGGGTAGGGGAAAGGAGGTGGATCGAACCCCGAGAAAGGGGAGGAGGGCGCGGGCCAACTGGCGGGTAGAGGGCTTCCCAAGGAGAAGCAGGAGATGCTGAAGACGCATCTCACGACGCAAGATCTGGCCAAGGACCCGCGCTCACCCAAAGCACTGCAGTGTTTTGAGAAGAAAAATAATAATAATAAAGCTTTCACCTTTACAGAGCTGTGCTGGAACCTCGGATGAGACCCGTCAAGAGGAGATTCTGAAAATCTTACACCACTGGGTCCGTACTCCCCTAAACATCAGTATCCCCCTTCAGACCAGGCCCATTAGTTCCCCCACTTCACTCATTTTTTCTGACTGCCTACAGGAGTTCGAGTTTTTCATCCCTAACTACAAGAATAATTATGAAAAGAAAATAACTTTTATTGAATGCCTATTACATACCAGGCACTTTGCATTTAAATGGGTTAAATTCCTTGAATCCTCTTTACAACTCATAACAACCCTATGAGTTGGATGGCATTACTAGCCCCAAGTTGCAAAGGTGGAAACTGAGGCACAGAGTGACCTGCCCAAGATGACACATCCAAGTAAGTGGCAGTGTTGGATTACAACACAGGCAGAGCTTACTTCTTAACCACAGCCACCACTGCCTCATTGAGAATCACTGAGAACGTAGTGTGTGCTAGCTAAGTAGTTTATCTGTATATGTTATTTCACTCATTCATTCATGTATTTACTTTCTGCTACCTGAGTCCTCAAGGGATTTGAGAGGTTGTGGGGTAGTGACAACAGCCCAGCCTCTTGCAGGAAAAAAAGAAAAGAAAAGAAAAAATCACTACTAAGATCACAACTGTCCGAAAATGAATGAGTGAATGTGGACTAATACACTGAGTTTTTAAAAGATTCCATGACAGTCTGATCTAACCAATGCTGCGGGAATACTGAAGTAGGCCCCTGACTACTGAGATACCATCTTGGGTCCTTCTCCTGTTTTTTGTTGTTATTGTTGTTTCTTTGTTTTTTGTTTTGTTTTGTTTTTTTCTTGAGACAGAGTCTTGCTCTGTCACCCAGACTGGAGTGTAGTGGCGCGATCTTGGCTCACTGCAACCTCTGCCCCCCGAGTTCAAGCGATTCTCCTGCCTCAGCCTCCCGAGTAGCTGGGATTACAGGCGCATGCCACCACGCCCGGCTAATTTTTTGTATTTTTTAGTAGAGACAGGGTTTCACCATGTTGGCCAGGCTAGTCTCAAACTTCTGACCTCAGGTTCTCCACCCGCCTCAGCCTCCCAAAGTGCTAGGATTACAAGTGTAAGCCACCGCACCCAGCCCCTTCTCCTGTTTAATACCAGTAAGTCAGTTTCCTGCAGCAAATGGCCTTTGCATATTTTTGGAGGCTAGGGTATTTGATACCCTAATTACTAATATTTTTATTACTACTGTATTTCCATTATTAAATGGGACAGTTACTTGCTTCTTCCCCTTCCTCTGTAGGAGCAGAAGGGACCCTACTTCTGCCTCAAAGTCTTCTGTGTATCCAATACTTAGCTCTACAAGCTCCTGAAATGCCATCTCCCCCATAAAACCAGCTCAGCCCAGACACAACCCCCATCACCACTACCCTCACTACCAACTCCATCCCGGCCTCCCGCTGTGGGTCAAGACTCCCCTGCTCACACACACTCTCCTACAAACATGTCTGCCCTTGGCCTATCTGTAGGATTACTACTACATCATATTTGTCATCCTCTCAATTTCTGTCATAGCCCTAGAGTCCAGAGCCAAGCCTGTCAGAATCACTCTTCACCATCATTTTTTGCACCTGATATACCGCCTAGCCTGGGGCTAAGCCTGCAGCAGGTACCTGCCAGCCGTAGTGGCCTGGACAGTAGCATCAGGGTGTGGCTGGTCTGGCTTTGACTGTAATCTGATCTATCCTGACTGAGCAGGTTACTTCTACCATTTGCCCTGTAAAATGGACATGATTTTGAGAACCACCCTACAGATGATGAAAGTAGGGGAGACGAGGGGAGGAACCGTTATTTTTGGGCTCTGGGCTGCCCCCTCCCTTCCATCTCAGATTACTAAGAATTAGGCAACCTAAGGCCAGGCGTGGTGGCTCAGGCCTGTAATCCTAGCACTCTGGGAGGCCAAGGCGGGCAGATCACTTTAGGTCGGGAGTTCAAGACCAGCCTGGCCAACATGGTGAAACCCCGTCTCTACTAAAAATACAAAAATTAGCTGGGTGTAGTGGCACGCTCCTATAGTCCCAGCTACTTGGGAGGCTGAGGCAGGAGAATTGCTTGAACCTGGGAGGCAGAGGTTGCAGTGAGCTGAGATTGTGCCACTGCACTCCAGCGAGACTTTGACTCAAAAAAAAAAGGGGGCAACCTGGCCTCCCTCAACATAACCACCCACCCCTACCATAGCCAGCAGCCACTAGGATTGCCAGTGGCCTCCGGGGAAATGCTGACCTTCTGCACAATAGTAGCCACAGAACCTCAGACAAGTCACCGCTTCCAGGGTTAACAGGACTCGCTCTGCCTCACAGCGTCATTCCATGGGATTAAATGGCTTCCTCCAACACAAGGACATCCAGAAGCATTCTAAGGACTCTAAGTAGTGGAAGATCAGACAGTTGTCAGGACCGGGGGCTCTGGGGTTTGACAGATCTGATGTTGGACCAAGTTCTGCCTCTCTCTAGCAGAGTGACCCTCAGGTAGTTATGTAACCTCACTGAGCCCCATTGTCCTCGCCTGTCAGACATGGATGACCCCCCAGTACTCCCTTGCAGGCTCTGGAGGAGTGACAGTAGAATGACTCATGATTTCAGCTCTCTGCTCCATGCTGGGCTCAGGCAGAATGCTCTAGAACGAGGCTGCCGCTCTGATGGCAGCACTCCAGGCCAGCACCTTCTAGGCCACAGACTCTCAGTGGTCAAATACAAGTGAAATTTCCATCTCAACAGACTCATTTTTCCAGAGCAGCAGGTTCACGTGGAACCAGAATGGAACAGTGCAGAAGGATACCATGAAAATGGAGCCAAGGGTGACTGGGAGGGGGGCCCCTTTCCCCCACAAACTTCCAGCTCCCCACCCTGGTTCTCTGGGCTGGTCAATTAAGACTCATCTGTCTTGGATAAAGTACTCTGAAACCCAGCTCCAAATCTCTCTTTCCAACCAGGTGATCCCCCAGAAACTCCATCTATTTAGAAAGTCTGTAAGTTCTGAAAAAGGAAGAAAAAAGAAAAAGTGAAAATAAATGCAAAGGACAGTTTCATTTTTTTGTTTCGTTGTTTTTTTTGTTGTTTTTTTTGTTTGTTTGTTTTGTTTGTTTGTTTTTTTGAGACCGAGTCTCACTCTGTCTCCCAGGCTGGAATGCAATGGCACAATCACAGCTCACTGCAGCCTCAACTTCCCGGACTCAAGCAATCCTCCCACTTGAGCCTCCCAAGTACCTGGGACCACAAGCAATTTTTAAAAATTTTGTAGCCGGGCACGGTGACTCACGCCTGTAATCCCAGCACTTTGGGAGACCAAGGCGGGCAGATCACCTGAGGTTGGGAGTTCAAGACCAGCCTGACCAACGTGGAGAAACC